TGAACTCCCTATTTTCGCACTCACTTCTCCTTTACATCTTGCACATAGGACTTTTTCATCCTATTTGGGTTCCTTCCCTTTGATGCGTTTGAAAACACTGGAGAGTGGCCCAGAGTCATCTTCTCCGTCATCTATGACCAATTTGAATTTTGGCAACTTGTTTTTAAAATCAGTCGTCACCATGTTCACCTCAAGTGGCTGTGAGAAAGGATTTTCATCCACTGCCATTTTCTTCTTATCTTCGAACCTTGATTCGATAGCATCCTGTAATACATGACGAAACACCAAGCAATTGTTAGTCAAATGTGACCATGGATTATGCCACTTACAATATTTTTTACCCTCAAATTGTTCAGGGCTTGGAAATTTACGTTTATCGCTCAATTTTATCTGCTTATCATTATACAGTTTGTCACATATAAGGTCTGCTTTGGTCACATCGAACGAGAACGTCCTAACCTCTTTGTTTTCATCTTTTATAGGCTCGTTCTTGCCCGACGCTCTAGGTTTGGCCATTATAGGGCAGGCGTAAGCATCCCCTTTAATTAATTCGACCAAACATACTTCACTTTGATCGTAATATTCATCGTTAATATTATGAACGTTAAAATTTGGGTCTTTATAGTAAGTCCCTTTACTAGAATTTTTCATTCGTCCTTCTTCTCTTATCAATCGTTCATATCTAATCACGTTCGCGTTGAGTTGGAAAAGGTCAGAAAATTTTCTATCTTGGAGTTTCTTTTTCAAATCAAAGTTTAAGCAACTTTTATCGATTTTGACAAATTTCTTCTCAGGCAGAGGTACAAAACATTTGCTCCTGACTGTTTTGAACCTTTGAAGGAAACCTTCTGCCCATTCGTTTGGCATTTGACGTAAATTCGCTAAATCGGCCAAGGTGACTTCAAATTTAGTCTTATAAAACTGAGCATAGAACAATTGTTCCAGTTGTTTCCATATTGGAATAGAGTTTACTGGCAAATTAATGAACCAGGAGAAAGCTACTCCT